CACCCTATAATTTCCCTGCAATTTTTGATTTGAGAGTGACAGATTACAGCCACACAACTTTGAAGAATTTCAAATTTAGAAACAAAAAAAATCATGCTACAAGTCAGACAAATGGTCAATGATACTTCATTAGGAGACCTTGAAACCAGTATAGTCAACAGAAATCCAAAAATTCCTATTGAGAAGAACTAATGAATGTTCTAAAATCCAACCTGATCTACATGTTTGGATTGCAGCATCCTCTAAATAGTTTTAAATTAGCACATGCTTCCTGCACAGTGATCAGCATTACCACTGTTGAAATTTAAGCAGAAACAAATGCCCTTCTACTTCTTCATTCACACGGAAATAAATAGATAAATACAACTAGACAGAGAAAACTGCAGCTATCTAAAGCTTCAGACAAAAAAGTTGTAAAGCAACATTCAAACACTGGGAAAGAGGAAACCTGACAAAAGTAGGACACTGATACATATTTCCCAATTTCATGTCACGTGGGGGAAAAAAATGAAAACTTAACACATTTATTTTTAACATTTTACTTTTACAGACCCCCAAGTTTTCCTTCATTTGGCCCAAAGAGATACTCCTATAGTTGACAAGGTATTAGAAACCTGACTCAAACTTCAATTCACACTCACCACCACTTGTACTAGAGGAAGGGTCTACAGCCAACACAGACACTTTGTATTTTCTTTCTGTAAGCATTTTCCCAAAGCATTCTATGAAAGTCGATTTTCCAGCACCAGGAGGACCAGACAACCCTAAGTAATCATATTAGGAAAAAACCACCATTTTGTTAATCAAATAAATAATACATCACGTGAACACCATCAACATCTAAGTTGGTAACAATTCATACTTTAGCACAATATCACAACAAAGGCAAACAACAGCTATGCCACAACTGATATACCCAACTAAGCAGTTGTAATTGACTTGAAATACATTACCTTGGTTCACCCAACACAGCAGCGCTCACTTCACCACCCCTCATCCTACCCATACCAACATAACATTGGGTTTATCCAGTCTTATTTCTTCTCCTCCAAATAAATTTATCTATACTGACTTATACTTCAGAACTTTAAAAATGTCATATCCTAAATGTGTGTTTTTTGGATTTACTAACTATTCATAAAAGACAGACCCTAAAAGCAAAAGCCCTTATCTTGAAGCGCTGTTATTTCAAAAAAATCGGGCTATTTACTTACACGTCAAAGCATGCAAACTAAGATTAGCTTGCTAACCTCCACCAAGTATTTCTCACTCCCATGCCCAAGTTCTTGTTCTTACTACCTTTGTACACACATATGAGAGGCAACAGCTGGACATGACATAATTTAGTAGTCCATCTCTTCGCAATATAAAAATATTTTATAGTTTCCAAGATAACCAGGTTCAAAGCCTCCTCAGCTGAAAAGCAGACTGCTTTAAAGTAAGGCCATAAAACAGGAAGGTACATATTTTTCCTTTTGTGGATTAACGAAGGGATTCAGGAAGCATTCAAGAACACACCTTCTTTGGGAAAAGAACCGGTCTGCTTAACTACATCCTTCCCTAAGTGTAGATAATAGCTGTATCAATCTGCAAACTACCTAACGTTTCAGCTTATAATAGTTATTAAAAAAACCAAGTAACTGCGCCCCAGCCCCAAGAAGCAGTAATTAATTCCAAGAGCTTTTTCAAAAGCATTTTTGAGCTCAAGCCATAATTCTACTGGACAACAGAAATGATCTAGATTGGTTTCTTGTGGTTTGTAACTAATGACCCAAGACTACGCACCATGATGCTTAAAAAACAATAGTGATAATGACAGGTGAGGACTGTAAGTCCATCAGAGCAACTACTGGACAGACATAAAAGGACTAACCCACTCTAAAGGCAAGTGGCTTTCCTTGATTTAACTTTTCTTGTTCCCTGTGGTAGGATAATACCTTCTGAAGGAGCACCTGAGCTATTTTCTTCTTCCTACTCTGAGTTGATTCTACAAGCGTAATGGCTTCTGCTAAACAGGCTCTATGACCCTGGATTAGTCCATTGTAAAGTCTGTCTACGAGTCTTTGTTCTCTGTCAGAAAGTCCCTCTATTTGCTGGTCACGGGCCACTTGTTGACACAGCTCCCTCCTCAAACCATTTGATGAACACATCCATTTTGTACGACAGCGGTGCACTGGTGTAAGAGATTCAATACACGGGAAATCTGCTCTGGAAGTGAAGTGGAAGTTCATGAAGTAAGTTCTAGAGAAATAACAACGAGGGAATCTCAGCAGCAAAGAGGGGATCTTCATCTTGTTTGGAATTCAAAGTACGGGGTATCAATTCACTTCTGTCTGCAGCCACTCTAAGGAGAAAGAAAAACATTTTTACTTCCTTCAAACCACTTGTAAGGACTCAAATGAAACCTACGTACACAGGCAATCATCATTTGTCCATCCATCAATTTTATCCATACCTACTGTTTAAAACACAAAAAGATAGTTCCCTCTTCCCATTGAAAAAACAGAACAAAAAGAAGCTATAGAATCTTCAATAGCATAGCATCTCCTTGTTATCATACTTAATAAATGAAAATATTATTTTTATAAGTAAGCAGATAAATAAAAAGCACTTTTAAATAAGACAGTCTCTAAGAGCACACATAATACCCTAAAAATCCAGGAACAAACCAACGAAACCAACCCTTATGCTCACTGAAATTACTATATATTCTATTTTCACAGCTGCAGGGTTTTTTAAAACAATTATTCAGGACGAGCTTTTT